CATAGCCAGCCAAGAGCGCCTGCATGTCCATGTTTGGACAGTCCTGTCAGAGGCTTGGTGAAGTTCAGCCCTCTGCTCAAGCACCCAATCACTGGTGTCCCAAAACTTCCAGTGGCTGGGTGATCTGGCATCGAATGGACACGACATACATGCATGGCATCGAATGGGTGCCGAGTTCGGACATTTGGCTCTAGCAGAAACATTCCCGGGCCGGGATGTTTGACTATGGGGTATGCTTCGGTATGGTTCGCCTAAGTTGAACATGTCAGCCCTACATCAACAGCTTGGTAAAAAGAGACAACCAAGACATCACCACCCAAGACTGACCATTCCTTTTTCTCGGAGCGAGTGAACCTGACTGTTGGGAGGTGCTTCAGAGTCTGACTGTAGGGAACACCTAAGACCTGCCATGACCTGAGTGTCTCTAAGTCTTGGGGTAGCTTTTTGTCTTCGTTAACCTCAAACACTTGCATGAACGTCCTGGGCCTTGGTGTTGGCCGAGTTATCGCCTACGTTTTCGCGATTCACAGGACTGCTTGGGCCACTGGAAACTTGCAGTTCTTTCGTGAAGGAAACAAGACCTGGATGAGGTCGTTCACAAGACTCGCTTTCAGCTTGAAAACTGCCACCCATCGATGTGGAAATCCGTGGCTGACGCTTAAAAGGAGATGACTCAACACGTCGACTAAGGTGAAGCACACTGACAGGCACAAAGCACAGTTCCACACACAGTCTGTGTGTGTGTCTCTAATTTGCAGGTTTCCGGTAAGCCATGTTTTCTGGTAAATGGTCTCAGGTCATGGGGTGTCTATCCATTTTTGCTTTCGGAGCCATGTTCCTAGTGAGATATAGGTGGCCTAGGTCGAACATTGCAACAGCCCCCAAACACACCCAGACTCCATCATATGTCGAATGAAGTACATATGTACCGTACCCCATTGGCGGAAAACGACCCGTGCCATGTAACATCGGTTTTTCACCCCGCGGTTTCGATCGAACCGGCCTAGGAGGTATATAGTATCACCCGGAGACGACCATGTTCCTCCCGGTTTTGGTCGTTTTGGTGTTCCGGTCCTCCAGAACCACAGCCACAGCCACCCCCGTTGAAAAACACCCGGACATCACCACCGTGTCCCTTCGTGCACCCGCGCCGAATCGGAGGTTTCCTCAGGAGCGTGCCGCATTGAGACTTTGGCCTTCCAACTATCAGGAAAACCCCAGCAACTACTCCCTGAAACAAACATTGAAATGTGGACATAAGTGGACTATCCCCTTCTTTTGTAGAGGAACATAGTATGTATTCCAGGAGGACGGGACGTCCACTTCCATGAGTCTGGGAGGGTTTATTCCTCCTTGGCTCGTTCGCACGGAAGCGGAGCGAGAAAGCGGAGGAGATTTCAGGTCAAGGAAGCGACGGGCCACATCGCTGGTGCAATTGGGAAGGCGTTGCAAACAGCGATGGACATAACGCCAAGCACAGCGATGGACACATCTCCATCATGGCACAGCCATGGATCATCTGCTCACAAGACGTCACGCAAATGATCACACATGTCACGGAAATACACCTATTGATCGTCTGCTTGTCAAACATAGAAGACGATTTTGGGGCCCCGCAGGCTGCTCGCTTTTGCAACGCAAGTGATGAAGCTTGCAAAGAGAAGTTGTGAAGTTTGGATTTGGGAGCCTTCCAAGTTCCATCATCTGGCTATGGGAGCCTTCCGAAAGGCCCCACATCCGTCACACCGTTCGTGTGTGCCATACCCGTTCCCTTTGACAGTTCCGGACCGGACATAGCTGTCACATGCCTTGCAACTGATGACAGTTGGCCGCGCTCGACCGCGCTCATGGCTTCAACTAAATTCACTGTGTCCTTCCCCAGTCTGCCCTTTTCGCAGGCACTAATGGCTGCACCGTAGCTGATGACATTGGGCTGAACCGTGGTCTGTAGCATGAAATCAAACAGTTGTAATGCTTCCTGCCATTGGCCGTTCTTTTCGCAGGCACTGATGGCAGCACTAAAAATGATAACATCTGGCTGCACTTTCGCATTTGGCATGGCCTCAAACAAATTCAATGCATGTTGCCACTGCCCGCCCTTCTCGCAAGCAGTGACTGCTGCACTGTAGCTGATGACATTCTGGTGAACTTTGGCTTGTGGCATGGCCTTTAACAACCTTAATGCTTCCTGCCACTGCTGACCCTTCTCACATGCACTGATGGCTGCAGTGTAGCTGACAACAGTTTGCTTAATGGTTGCCTTTGCCATGGCCTCAAACAAACAGAAAGCTTCCTGCCATTGCCCGCCCTTCTCGCAGGCACTGATGACTGCACTGTAGCTGACAACAGTTGGTTGAACTTTTGCCTTTGGCATGTCCTCGAACAACTTCAAGGCTGGCTGCCACTGCCCATGCTTCTCACACGCACTCATGGCTGCACTGTAGCTGATGACATCCGGCTGAACTTTCCCATGTGACATGACCCAAAGCAGCATCAAAGCGTCCTGCCACCGCCCGCCCTTCTCGCATGCACTGATAGCTGCACTGTAGCTGAAAACATCTGGCTGCACTTGCGCATTTGGCATCGCCGCAAACAACCTCAATGCCCCCTCCCAATGCCCGCCCTTCTGGCAGGCACTGACGCCTGCACTGTAACTGATGACATCTGGCTGCACTTTGGCGTGCGGCATGGCCTTTAGTAACCTCAATGCTTCCTGCCAGTGTCCGCCCTTTTCACACGCACTGATGGCCGCATTGTAGCTGATGATGTTTGGCTGAACTTCTGCCACGGGCATGGCCTCAAACAACTTTAGTGCGTCTTGCCACCTTTGGGCCACAGCACAAGTGAAAAGTCCAACAGTGAAATTAGATGCATCCAATGCTATTGCACCATTTTCTTTGACACCTTCCAACATGTCAAGTACAAAGTGCCACAGCTTACGCTCTTGAAACATCCGCAAGACTTGTCGAAGGTTCTTCTTTGAGACCACTTCTGGCAACGCCCCAAGACTTCCTTCAATGTGCTGATGGCTTGGAAAGAACTGAACCGACATGTTTGACAGACTACAGTGGACTACAGTTCTCGAACAAATATACTCAATCAATATCAATCAATTGCCAATTCTCTGCAAGCAAGTTCAAGTTCACTCGGTGAGCTGACTAGCTGACTGACACCTGGTGGGGCAAAGGGCATGGTTGACACATCAGTCGCTCCTCACGGGCCATCCCGGGGATACTCTGCAAAGTCGGACGCACGCCAGGAGTCGCCAAACCCAGTGCTGGGACGCGTCCGGGTCGCTCTTGTTGATTCAGACATGGACCATGGACCAGCCAAATCAAACACAACATAAACTGGTTAGTGTTTTCAACCCACTTGAAACATATTTGTCAGAGGGTCCAATCATCCCCAAGTAAGGGTTGAGGATAAACATCTCCGAAACCATCAGCTAGTTTGAAAGCTCCTCCAAGTTTCTTGCACTCACAGATTCGCGTCTGCTTCTTCTCTTCATCTCTTCTGCTTTCGCGCAGCTAAGCGGAACGCTGCCCGGGTCGACTGGCCCGCCGCGTCCTGCCCTGATCGGTCGAAGCATCTTCCTCGGTCCCGAAAGCGTCTTCCGAAACACATCGGTTCCAGCCGGACCTTTTTGTCGTTGGACGTGTTGCCTTACGGTTGACCGAACGGTTGCATTGTTGCTTTTGAGTGGCGACACGGTTGACCTCCAACGTTCGGTGACCTGCAGGGGATCCACCTGCAGTGATAGGAAGAACCACCTGCGATGATCACTGCAGTTTTCTTTTTCCATGGAAAAAGAAAACTGCAGTGATCATCAGCATGAAGAAAACACCCCAAACTACGGCATCTTTCCGGGTCAAAATCCGGCACTCGAACAAGGTTTGCAATGTTTGAGGCCTCAAACCGACTGGATTTGGTAAACAAGCAAAGGAAAGTAGATCAAACCTAGTCTAATCTTAATAGGCATGCATACCGAAAATATGGCCAACGAGTTACCACTAACTGCTGAGGTCACACTCCTAATTATTGAGACGACAAAAGATGTCAAAGAACACCACCGAGTAGGCGTAAAAGTATGTAAACGTTCCACTTTCGAACACAAAAAACGAGTCCTATCAAAGGCTTGGTAAAATTCAGGGCGCTGGATCTACCAGACAACGCTTGCCATGTGAAACGCCTCACATGCCGCCTGCCGTGCAGATGTTGTCCAAGCCAGGCACGCTTCTGAGACATGGCACCGTCTTTTGCCGAGATGCAGCAGGAGGCGCACACGCTTTCGCTGCGGAGACATGAGGTTGGGGTTGGCACAGGTATAGTCACCAGGACATGGAAAATAACATCAAACCCAACCATTTAAAGACGGGCATCGGAGAGATCTTATATTATTCTTAAATCATCTGAGCCGAATCTGAGCAACCCTGAAAGGAGAAGCCTTTTTGTTTCTTAGTTCCTGATCCTGCTTGGGCCACTGAGGGTACTTGGCCAAAAGGAAGCCCAGGATGGAACAGCTCCACAATACGTATGCTTCTTAATGTGGAACCGAGAATAATACTGTAACTCCCCTTTTCACACTTCAACTGCAACCCTCTATGGACACTTTTCAGTATTCCAAAACATACCCATGCAAATACTTATGACATCGGGTCAATGTACGTAAGTCTTCTAGTCCCATGGATGGTCTGGTAGCTGATGACATCTGGATTTCATTCGGCATTCCGATGACCAAACATAGATGGGACCCAATGGAACGGTTGCTCCTCCAGTTCCATGGATGGTCTGGGATAGTTGGACTGTTTTCTTTTCCTACCAGAAACGTTTTCCACTTCTATGATTGTTGGAAGGAGGGTATGTATATTCCGCCGACATCTTTGGGAGAAGAAAAGACCATCGAAATCCCATGGACCAAATTCCCTTTCCTACGACCTTTACCCGCAGTAAAGCCCTTTCCCAGGCCGGTGAAGCCCGGATGGCTCATTCTGCCGGGCGACAGCCAACGAGCTCCAAACATTCCTGCCATGTAAACGTGGGGGCAACCAGTTCGGTGTTCAAATGCCCCCTGCAGAGTGAACCTGCTTCGGCTCTTGAGGGTTTCATGCCTCCGGGTAGAACCAGCATTTGACCGAATCGCCCAGGCGACCAGGTATTCCCCCACCGTGGAAGTCAGGGGTCCCGGGGTCTGCGAACGCATGAACATGAGCGCATGACAAGAACCTATAGAGCACTGGAGAGGTCAAGTTCTTCAGCTTGGGCATGGCCCCGGCTATGCCTTGGGTATATCCTTATCCTATTGCGAGCGCCAGTGGATGATGATGGTTAGGTTGCAGGTCTCTCTCTTTCTCAAACAGTGATCTATTATTGATAATTGTTTACCGACTGCAAGAGGACAAACCAAAGCTATAAAAACATCTGGACAACTGGACAACTGGTTGGTGCGATCAACTCGGTGAAGCCTTCAGAACCTTTGGGAATTACGATCCAACCGGTGAATCCAAGGCACGAGTCTCGTCATCTGCCAAACACCACCGCCATCTGGGACTGGCATATGATGACTCCCGACATCTCCCGAAATGCGGTGGTTCAAAAACGCTTCAATGCATTTTTTTGCTTTTTGTTCCATGCATGGAGGGTCTGGGATAGTCATGAACTTCATGAGGATCCTCCTTTTTGAACTCTCTCGCAAAAGGCCTCTCCAAAAAATAACACGCATGCACTATCCCTGGGCCACCAAGCACCTTCTGAGAAGGTGTTTGGGGTAGGTTTGGAGAGTGTAAATACCTTCTGAGGAGGTACGACTGGAGGTGTAGGGCATGCACAACCCACAACCCATCACAACCCTCCAGGCTCCGCCATGCTCCGCCTACGCCAGTCCAGTAAGGACAACACCCTCCAGGCGAGTGGAATTGTCCTGACGCGCAGAAGATGCCCATCCCTAGGGATCCAAATACCTTCTCAGGTACGGTAATTGGACCCTCCTGGCGCCTAGATAAAAAGTGTCCCCGTCCTCACCTTACCTCAGGTTCGGTGGCAGTGGATCCGGCATGGAAGCCTCCGAACATTTTAGGATTGCCCGCAAAGATGCCAACCCGGTTTTTCAGAACTCTAGCAACTATCCCAGTTGGGTACTCCAGGTTGCGGCTTCATTTTCAGGTCACTTCTTCTCTCTTGGATGGTCACGGCTCCTTCAGAAAGAAGCCAGTTTAGGAAAAGGATAGGACAATCCACAGATGTCTCCGTCCCCAGGTGATCCACATGTCTCCGTCCCTATGTTCAAGCGCACAAAAACTGTGGACCCTGTGTTCAAGGGATCCTTGGTCGCCCGCGTGCAACGTCGCACCTTTCGGAAAGTTCGCCCAGCCAAACGGAACCCACCGAAGTCTCCACTACGACAAAGTGGGGGGACCGTTGTGTTCGGCGCAACGTTGTGTTCAGTACATCTACGGTACTGCTCTATACTGGACATACTATTTTAAAACATACAACAAACACACAACAACAACAACAACAACAACAACAACAACAACAACAACA